TTTCTGTTCGGCGTACGTCTTGCCTGTCAAACGTGCAAGCTCGTACACTTTGGTCGAAACTATACAGTAGTCGCGCGCGAAAAACAGTGGCGAAAACTAAGTAAATAACTTGAATGTCAAAACGCTCGTCTCGAGTCACTGCAGCCAGCTCCTGGTGGGGCTCCTGGTGGCTGTAATAAACCTGCTGCAGTGGTGGCCCCCTTCGAACCGTGCCAACAACGACAACGGAGCTGCCACACACGCCTACGAAGATACGCTGTATGTCCAACAGCGAGAAAAACAGTCATTATCAAGTCATTATGTTACCACGGCAATGGCGGCGGACTCGCTGTGGAAGTAGATGGAGGCACAAGTAGCTAGATATCAAGCAATAAGTTGCGGGGTCACATGCATGGTGTCAATGATGTTGTTTCAAAGCAGGCAGATCCAGGTGGAGTCAGTGGAGGTAGGCGCCGTGACAGTAGGATGAGTAGGACAGAGGTTACAACAGAGAGGCAGAACCTCGGTAACCCTCCTTACCTCCTCTTCCCAGATTTTAAGAGATACATTCTGATAAAATCATATCATTACATACTATCTCTACTTAGCCGAAGAGCAAGACAATATCGCAGAAAAGTAACATGCTCACCAGACACTGTTGCAAAATCAAGCCCCAGTAGTGCAACGGCACCTCATAAGTAGTAGATTGAAGAATCTCGCCATTACTCGTGAATCATTACACAATTATATGTTTTAGACTCGCTCAGTCCCGCCGAACTACATGAATAACCCCAGCCCCCAACGCCCTCACCCGGTCTTCGTGATCATCATCACCAGCTTTCACCATGAGAAAGGGGAGTGCAAGGGAATCAACTGGGTGTGGGATTTTTGCTATCACAACTGGCCCTACTTCTCCGGCTGTGGACATGCACAGTGTAGCAAGCCCTTTTACTAGAGGCCACAGTTCAAAATTGTGCACCACTAGTTCTGCCACTGGAAAAGTCACCATGCTAAGCCTAAGTTCCGACGCAGTGAAATCGGCGATAGTGATAAGAGGACCCCCGTAATCCCTGTCTGAAGCACCTGGAGAGGTATGTTTATAAGCATCTTGATATGACACTTCGTCTTGCCTATTGCGCAATTCATGTGATATAAGAGCAAGAAGACTGTTGAGATCTCGAGAGTCTGCGGAGCGAGGAACTCCTTCTAGATAGTAGAGAATGTTGAAGCCTTGTTTGATGATCAAATTATAGATTCACTCGCCTTTTCTCTCAGCAACGCGGGAGTAGCAGGGATCCCGATGCTCACTCCGATGAGATTTTTGACACGGCCGGCTGCAGTAGTATGTCATTTGGCACGCTGAGCAGCGAAAGAGTTTCGATACTGATGGAGAATTGCACTGCATAGTTGTTGAGTATACTTAGTACACAAGTTTTGAACATCGTACACTGACCTTTGGATCAGCACAAACTTTAGGTTCCACCAGCAGCAACTCCTCCGTGAACATCGTACGTACTCTCATCACCTCTTCGAATTTCTTCCAAATAGGGTCTGAATGCTTTTGGACTTGATCGCTCTGCGACGTCGCATCCCGAAGAGGGTGTTTTCGCAAGACCTTCTGCAACGTCTTCAGAACGATACGGTACATGGATGCAGCTGCAATTTTTTCGACTATTGTTCCGTAAAGCTCGTCCACGGTGTGGCCTGCCAGGAGGCAGTCACCACATACCTGGGAAAAGTACCAAAGGGCAGAGAGGAGCCCCATTTCGAGAGAGAAAACAATCGTGTCGTATCCACCGTAATCAAATGCAATGCATAGATGACGTACAGCGTATTTCCAGGTATCGACGACATTAAGGTCGTTTATAATGTTCTGAAGACGCTTAGTGGACTCGATATTCTTGATGTTCTTGCCAATGCGGGTCAAGGTGTGAGTGACGAAATACACAGAGCGGCGTTTTATGGATTGCTGGAGAAGCATTTGGGAAGTTTCCGTTCCCATGGACCAGACAAACAGCCATTGTGATAGGTCGCGATATCTTATGGTCAATGGTCGCTTTTGGCAGAGACAGGTGAGAACCTTAATCAGCGCAGTACTTGCGGGGATGGAAATATTGTTTAGCGTGTCCCGATGGACGTGAAACCAAATATCATTCCAGCCGTTGATCATCAAGTCCAGCAACCTTGCAGATGCTTGTAGTAAGCTGATGAGGACCCGTCACGGTGCACGCAGAGTCCGTATATTTGTACACGAACGACCATATCAGCTGCACCAGGAGTAGATTCTAGTTCTTGAATGCGAATTACTCCGGTGGACAACAATTCAGAGCACAACACTAGGACCGTACGAAGCATTCGTATTCCAATCGAGTCATCATCTGAATCGTAAGGTAGACCTGATTCGATGTAAGTCTTTACCATGTACGACATCCAAAGGTGCATTGCGGACCAATATTTCCTGAGTGTTGATACGACTCTAAAGCGGTGTAAATGTTGAACCTTTGGAAATACTGAAGCTATAGCCGTCAGAATGTCCTCCGCACGTTGAACGTTATCCGGCAGAGTATAGCTCCGATGGTTCGAGCTCGTTCCAATTACAGTAGACTCGCAAGGGGGCTTGATTTTGGCCAGATCAGATAGATCCGCTGGAAGCCTATTGAGGAAAATCCGGCGTTCTTTCGCGCCATGAGAATGTAGCTGAGAAAGCTCTTGGAGCAATTCGAGTGGCGTGTTCATGTTAGACGTCGCCCGCCTTTCAAGTGTCTAAGAAAAAAAGACATTAATCAGGAGTAGTGGAAGAAGAGAACTATCACTGGTTACATCTCTTCTGGTACTCGTAATTCAGTACTCAGTTCCAACGTGCACTGATTAAACTTGCGATAAAACGAACAAAGCGCCCGTGACCCCCATCGCGTTGACCGTGACTGCGTGACAAACAGCTGCTCTTTCTCTCTTTCGCTCACTAATCGCCCTGCAAACTACGATTCGGATAACACTAGTAAAAACTGAACGAATAATGTCGAAACGCTCAGTATCGCCTCCCGCTCCCGGTGGAGCAGTAATAAAACGCGCCAAAAATGACAACGGAGCTGCATCTTCAACGACGAGAGAAATCGCCATTTCGTCAAATAACGACCCAAGGAACAAAGCCTTGACTCGGACTGTACCGAGAACAAGTGGATTGGAGGCACCAATTATCAGTTTGGCCGGCGCTCATTCGGTAAGCATATTGTTTCTCTCTGAGCTTTTTTCATAGTTTATGCGAAACTGGTTCAGTGATATCGTTATGTATCTCAATCAGAGGTACATTCGGTCCGTGTTGTGGATTTCTCTATTCCTACTCGTCTTTTTTTTTACCAAAAAAAAACAGATATTAATCAAGCTCATTTACAGGGCGAAATCCTCTCTTGTCGTTTCTCTCCCTCCGGCCTGCACATCGCTGCCTGTTCTTCTGACCGCTCGTTGTCTCTGTGGAATACCTATCCACCTAACACGAACTACGCTTTACTTTCAAATATTGCGAAAGCGCCGTTATTAGACCTGCAGTGGTCTTTATTCCAACCGTGGATATACACAGTATCAGCAGACCATATGCTTAGCGTCGTCGATACCACTACAGGAGAGAGAATTCGGAAAGTTCGTGCGCATGGCGGAATCATCAACTCTCTAGACCGAACTATGGCTGGCGGTGCAGGAACGGAGCTGCTGGTGACTGGTAGCGATGATGGGACAGTAAAGGTATGGGAGAGCAGCGATGACGGCGGACTAGCAAAATATCCAGTCACCACAATCGAAGTAGGATGCCCAGTGACCGCAGTATGCTGGAGCAAAGACGGACAAAACGTGTATGTTGCGTCGTTGGATAACGAGATTCACGTATGTTTTAATTTCTCCCTTTTCCTTTCTATGTCTCTGACCGATTTTTTCACAGGTATACGACCTCCGAAATTCGACTACGGCTAGTGCCAACGCCAATGGCAGCACCTACCCGCGAACTCAACCGCTACTCTCCCTTACCGGGCACACAGATACTCCTACCTCACTATCCGTTTCTCCAGACGGCAACTTCCTCCTCTCACCGTCTTTATCCTCGAACGTGCTGATCCACGACATACGGCCCTTTAGCCCGAGTCCGACTCGCGTTCACCGGATACTGAGGGGAGCACCGGCAGGGTTCGAGAATACGCTTCTCAAGGGAGCGTGGACGAGAGACGAAGAAGTGCATGGCGGAAAACCAGGTCAAAGAGTGGCTGTAGGAGGTGCGGATCGGATGGTATGCGTATGGGAGGTCGAGAGCGGAAAACTGATGTACAAGGTGAATTTCTACTTTTCGTTCGAGTTGTATGCGCGCGCGCCAAAGTGCTGCTGCAATTTTTGTTTCGAAATGACTGCTGCTGTTTCTGACGTTTTTCGCCTCGTGTAGCTCCCTGGCCACAAAGGAACAGTAACATCTTGCGACTTCCACCCCAAGGAGCCTATACGTAAGCCAACCACCCTTCATCTTCATTCGGATGTTACTGACTGGTTTCGCGTCGCTCTATTTCTTTTCTCCGCACTGGAACGCCTTGCCCTTTTCTCTGCACCTGCGTCCATCTCCATAGTTCTCACTGGAAGTAAAGATGGTACAATGCTACTCGGAGAGCTGGAGGCAGGAATAGCTGTATGATGTGTTTTTGTATTTACCGTAACTGGAAAGCGGTATCGCGAGTGTACTACTTGGAAGTCCGTTACAAGGGGAGTCGGGCGGCAACGCGCTCTCCTTTTTGACTGAGTTGCTGAGTAGTACACAGGCAAATGTTCTGACAACCATACATGAGCATTCGGTGTAATCGGCGTGCCATACAGGACAATCGTTGGTCAGATGTAAGTAGGTTGTGGTCGAAGTCAAATGCGTTTGCAACCCCCCAAGTGTTGACCGAAATTCTGCATCGCGATCAAAAGTGACGATCTGGAGAGTCAAAGTTACTGGAGAAAAAAAAAAACACAACTTTTGTTTGGAATACTTAGTATCAAAAAGTATCGGGCCTAACCGGGACTTGAACCCGGGACCTCGTCGAAAGCTTTTACCGCGAGCGGTACACCCTAACAACGAATCATACCCCTAGACCATCAGGCCGATGAAAGTAAATCCAGAAACTAGTATCTATGCCCACAAAATCGGTCCTCCGAACCCTTCCTTTGGGGACAAAAGTGACATATCCTTGTAATACTAGCAAAACATACTTCACTTATATCTTACTCTGTCCAGTACAACAATAGGTCTGTTCGTGACTTTTAAGCTGTCGACTCGGAGAGTTCTTAGACGAGACCCATAGTATGATGGATGCCAGAAATGTATTTAGGAAGCTTCGTACGCAGTAATGGGTGTTCGCTCGCTTGGTACCATACTAATTCCTCTAATACGAGACTAGCGATGGCCTAGAAGATCAATAGCTACATACATGATTTAACTCGCCTTCTGATCTGGACCCTTGACAAACTTTGCCACTTTGCACATCCCATCTTCCGCTCCGCACCACTTCAGTGGTTGTAGGGCATCATTCACCAGTACGCGCACGAACTGCTGGTTGCTTAAGCTCTGGATCTGGCGCTCAATTCTTGGACCATGCTGTGTAACTTCCTCATTTCCTTCCTTCGGGCTTGAAGTTTCACAGGTCATGCGCTCGAGCACGATCCGTCCAGCAAACGGGACAAGCGCGGACGCCTTGTAATCCGACGAGTCGTCCCGCTTCTTGAGACTAAGGTCTTTAGCCTGGCGAAACAGCCCAAGCTCGTTTAAGATGCCCGCCATTTCGTTGTCATGAGAGAAATCAGCGTAAAAGCTGGGGTCCGACTTCTTCGTGGAGCTGAGACGAGTGTACAGGGCCTCGGCGTATCCGTCCGGTGAGAGCCCGTATTTAGAGTGGGGTTTAGATCTGAGAGAGAATTGAATGGAGAAAATTGAATGAAAAGAATCGAAATAGCACCAGCTACTCACTTGCCGATGTAGTACTTGTTAAGGGCACCCTGCCACGCAAAGTCCTTGAACTGTTCTTCTGTGAAAATATTGCAAAATGGGCTGAGAGTTTTAGAAGAGGTGTCTCCCTGGCGCAAAATGCCAGTTTCAAGGGGGCACATCAACATGAGATAATACACATCATCTTTAGAGAGTTGTGTCCCAATCACGGCACTGAGGGTTTTACTGATCTCAGGGAGGTACTTTCTCATCCAAGGTCGGTAATATTTCTGCCTGACTCTGACAGCAGTGAATAAGTCCCACTGGACACGACATTAGATTAATTAAAAACAGTTATATAAAAAGTCTGCACCTTTGTTTGTTTTTCGATCAGCTCGGGAGGCGGTATATTGTGTCCGTAGAGTTTTTCAAAGCCTAAGAAAGTGGATAAGTTCATTCTGGGAGATCCTAGCTTGCCATGTACCTTTGATCCAATTCTCCGCCGAAATTACAACCCGGGGAACGCTCGAGGAGTGCACTAATGGAACACTCGTTGTGCTTGTGAATAAAGCCTTGTACCGCGAGTATTGCAGCAGGCCTGACTCGTAGGATCTAAAGACTAGATTAGTACAGCCAAGGGGAAGGGAAATTTCGCTGACTCTTTTTCGCCGAGTGGGGTGAGCTTACCCTCCTGTTCGGGGCCGATCTCATGTTTTTTATATTTAGCTTCAGATAGGAAATCGAATTTTTGATCAGAAATCTTTTTTTTGTCGAGGATCTTCTTGAGTTTTTCCACGGCAGTCTTGATACCCTTATTCTGAGGCATTTCTGGATACCTTGAGCCATGACGCTGTACCTAAAACATCTTTGTAGACCATGGGTCGATGGTAAGCAAGCAAGGACGTACAAGGTGAACCTGAAAACGTCCCAATCATCAAGGTGACTGTAACAAACTAACATCGGAAGTATTCTGCGCACCTGGTTGATTGTACAGTGAGCAGGTGGCGGTGCATAGGTATCAGCCGGAGTATAAGGAGCAAACTGGGCCCAAAGGCTTTGGAATCGCGCTATATCAGGATGCTCAACAGCGTCACGCTTACTTGGGCTGTGAACCGGAGCCGAAGCGACCAAGAGAAAGGAAGAGACAACGAAGGAAGAGAGCAAAAGCATGACCAGCAGTGCGAATGGATATGGAGGAGAGGGTTAGCGGCCTGGCCAGCAGGTAAGTCGAAGCTCAGACTGATTTGACTTGCTTTTATATACTTTTGGCCTGTCTCTAGGGCTGTGAGGGACGAAACGTCTCGTCTGGTCGGAACAACACCGGAACAACACCCGCAACAAATTAACTCATATTTGTCTCATGGCGGGGTAATGAATTCGAAATCAATTCGATGTAACAATAATGTATGCGATTGGAATCGTACGTAGACTCAACCAAGGACTCAACTAACACTACTCTACATACTAAGTAATATCAATCTAATATCGATATTAATGGAGCCTCCTGGCTTTCGACAGCTTTCGACACGCTCTCCGAATTTCACGTCTTCATTTGCGGAAAACAAACCATCTGTCTTCTTTGGAAGGAGTTTCTGCTCGAATGTACTTTGCTTTCCGACACGCATTTAGCGCCCAAACATTTCAGCGCTTCTAATTCTTCTCAGTTGTTTAACTAGGTTCGCCCAACTTGAGCAATTATGGTAATGTACTTTCATGCTTAACTTACAATGGAGATGTTCATGCACAGTGATATTCAGGCCAGCCCTCAAAAAACGACAAAAACGCCTCCGTGTTGAGTCTTTGGAAGCTCAGATGATCGCCACTGGCAACGAGATTCTAGGTTGGACACCTTTGAAGATCTGTGAAGGACTAGCGGTTTATGTGGACCAGAAATGGGACCGGGCTTGGAAAGACAATCGGAAAAGCTCACGAGAGAAAAGACCAGTGCGTTCCTTGCTGTGATTTTCATGTCGCGAATTGACTTCCCCCTGTTGCTAGATCTGCTCTCTGTGTCATAATGGCGGAGACCTCGTCGAATGCAGCAACAAAAAGTGCTCAAGCACTATCTGCAAAGGTCATCTAGCGCGTTATACGATGGTAGAAGAACTTGAAGAAGAGGATTATACCTGTATCTTCTGCCACGCAAAGCAGGCCCCCGACGAACCATATAAGGTAGACGGCGGACTGTTGCACTTGGTTCGATCGACTCAAGATATTCTAGGGCTTCAATGAAAGTGAATTTCGGACGCAGTTTCTGAATATTGATCTGTTGGCTGGCGACCACGACATAGGAAATATCAAGTCGGATTGTCCATATACTCTACTCCTCACAATATACCTCGACGATGAACGTCTGATCCCGAACCTAGGCTTCAATATCGCGTTAGACTTGGTCAACTTCCTTCCTGGACAAATTGCCAGCGCCTCAATACCGTTCAACTTTCAATGGGATAGCAGTGATGTCGAGTCATTTCAATCTAAAATGAACTCACTCGTGACTGCGCTTGAAAATGGGCCATTAGAAAGGTATATTTAGTAGTGCGACTGAACTTTTGTTTCAATAACACATTATCATTGCAGAATAACGAACATATCGGTCATTCTCTTCACACTAACCCATCCGAAGAAAGGATACCTTCATTCGCAACGAGATAACCGTGGCTCCTCTTCTTTTACAGAAGTATGTGTTTTCGTCCATTAGCTTCGACAGGAGCTAAACAACTGGCATTCAGCTAACGGATGCGATTTTCCCGCCTAAACTCAAGGAGCAATTTCGAAAAAAAGCATCCCGAACCAATCTGATCCTTCACGCCTCGGGAGTATTCTGGCAGCAGCAGAGTCTGCAACACGAAGTCATCAAGTTTCTGAACGAGTTGAGGATATTATCTGTTCTTGTCGGCTCTATCTATACTTATCTCAGATAACCTTTTATCTAGCGTCAAGATCGATTTCATTCTAGGATTCGAAGCTCTTTTATTCAATTGGGCGCTCGCTACTCCCGCTCTCACCACGATTCTTCGCAAATTCTACATTGAGGGAATGTCAATATCGACAATTGCCGAGATAGTAGGAGGTACAGGAACTCATGGAGATCATAGCGGTATCGTTTTGGCTCAACGTAATAGGATCTATGCTCTCATGTGGCACGACGCCACCTTACGTCCATTCGGTGTCAAGCTGGACCGCCAGTGCAAGGCTTGTGGTGTGCTTGATGCTTGGGGAAAGGAGCGTGTATCCTATCAACTGCGACCAGGGACTAAGGAAGTTGGTGCGATCATTCTCGAGTGTCGGAAGTGTGGCGCCCAGCTGAAAAAAGAGAAGCCTCCTGGTGTATCCAGGTTACGCGGAGGGGAAGCATTGACAGATTATAGAGTTGACGGGCTGGGAGACACTATGATACAGGACTTGTACCAGGTTAACCGACGAGCTGAGGATGTCATACAAAATGACCGAATTTAATGCGTATATATATATACATGTATGTACTTGGAGTTGGTAATTATCCGATGTTGTACTGCTATACATTATCGAACGAGGCGGATTCAGGACACTTAAGCAAAATAATCAGTTCCATAGATGCGATGGTGAGCACAAACTCCTTACATGGGTGCCAATGATCGAAAGGCTGTCGACTGTCGACATTTCACAGCCCTTCATCAGTCGATGATGAAGGTAAGCAGGACCCGTAATGACACGATGGCTGGATAACGAGAATCCAAACACCTTGAATATCAAGACATTTTGAGACCGACCGAATCGAAAGCACCAAAGGGTCGATCTGAAAACTAGGCGGCGATCGAATTAGCGTTCAAGTCCATGATTGACGACCAATCGCTGCAGTAACTACCTGCCTACAAAGTTTGTCAGCAACCAAGTTCGATACCAAACAGAGCCGTAAATATACCTCGAAGATGACTGCCCATCCAACAGACTCAACAAAAATGCACGTACCTCAACCAAGAAACACCAATACGTTAAGATCATAAAGATCTCTCCACGGGCGTGTGGAACTCTCCCCGACCCAAGCAGACTCTATGGAGTCCGGAGCCGCCACCAAAATGTAAAGCCAGTGTCCAGCCCGCAGCTCCCGCACCCACCAAACAGTGAAGATGCGTTCACATACGGGGTTTCTCGAGGCGACTATTTCACACCTCCTTGCGATACTGAACCCCAAGACAGAG